ATCATCAGCTGCTGATGTTGGAGAATAGCAGTTGATGATAGTGATGGCTTTCTGATGCAGAGGACGGAGTAAAAATAGCCAGGCAAGGTGATAGAATCTCATGCGAATCGACAAGATGGACAACAGATGGTACGACAAATCCAAAGCCTCCAATGTTCCGTAATGGAACCTTTTCACCACGAATGATGAGTGTGCCCTCACTCAGCTTCACGTCCGTCTTCCTGGACTTTGTTTCCTGCAAGGCGATTACGTGGTAGTTGATACGCCCTGCAGCTTCGAGGAGGGCGTGAAGATCGGCGTTGGTGGAGGCTGTCCTGGCGTTGTAGGTGCATAGCATGAGACAATCTCTATGGCGAGTCATTGACGTCTCCTTTGGTCCGAAATCCGTGGCGTCCTGTGCAAACTGACACTGCTTTTGATGACATCCGACGCCGCAGATGTGATTCAGTGAGCAGGGCTTCTTTTCCTCTTACATGTTGTATTGGCAATAAGTAAAGGACATCTCCCCAAACTTTAGCAGCCTTGCCAAGGCCCTGCCAAGCTTTCACCACGGCAATCGCTGACCTCATGTAGATCAGGGAGCCACCTAGCGACCGAATCAGCCAGACGGTGGTTCTGGCATGACCTATTAACTGGGCATCGGTAAACCGGAAACTCAAACTCCTTCTCAGCTTGGTCCTGCTGGAGGACAAACCTCCACTATACTTCGCAGTTCGACACCCAGATTCACCTCCGCGCCACGATGAGGCGGTAGACCATCACAAGGGGGGAGGAAGGGGAGGGTTGTGCTACCTGCCACAAATATTAACTGCGCTAGGTAGCGCGCAGCCAATTGAAAACCTCAAGCTATCCTTGCCTAAGTCGTTAAGCTCTGACCCTACCAGCTTGTAATTCTATGCTCGTGTGTACTTTAGTGTGGTGTGTATAAACGTTACTGTATGTTAAAAGGAAAGACGGCTCTTCTGAACTGCGATAGCGTCCTGGCCACTCTGTCCTGCGACTCTGGTTGGTCGCGCTGGAAATATGCATAGGATCTCCCAACGCCCTGGCGCCTTCTGTGGCAAATAAATAGTCAGGCGAGCACGC